AAGTGGTTTGTACAAAGTATATTCCACTTCATGATGAAGTTCGTTACTTTGGCGAAGACCTATTTGTGGTTATTAATAGTTGAAACTGATGAACATCATAAACGGCCGTCCAGTATGCCTCATCCTTAATACAAATGGTAGAAGTCTATCTGTCTGGTTTCAACGTAGAACTTTGCACCGGTGTGCAGCAGTTCCAGTAGCCACACTTCATTCAGCACACAAAGCAAGAGAAGAAAGCAAAAAGAAATGTAAAATAAAGACAGTAAACAGAGATATGAGACAAAAAGAATAGTACTATCGAAATACAATATTGTTCCATTGGGTATTATAAGTCACAAGGAGTGGATACATCTGCGCCAGTCGTCACTGAGGACGATTTTCACCCATATCGCAAATTGTCTCCAGCTGCCATTGGTGTTTACCGTCTCAACCAGGGAGTCTACACCTTCCTACGTGGCTTAAATTAATTGTTGTGGATTTCATTGACTGATGAAGACATGTTTTAGTTTGACCGCCACTGGCTCTCTTCCAAACTGATCCTTCCTGTGTCAGCTAACATTGTCCGTCGTTGAGGAAAGCGGTGGCTACGCAGGCGTGTGCAACACATGTCCTAACCATCTCAGTCAATGTAGCTTCACTACCTTTTCGACTGATTTCTCCTCCTTATCTAGCATTCGACCAATGCTCAACCTCAATATTGCCCACCCTATTAAACCACCACCTGACACGGGAGATAGAACGCAGGCACCTATGATCAAAGACAGCTAGCTAGCCCTTTCCTGTCCTCCACTCTCAATAGCCAGGTCTCGAAGCCATAAAGGGGGACAGAGAGGACCACTGAGCAGTACAAACGCCCTTTGCTAGATAGCCAGCCAGCCGGACACCACGTTTACTAAGCCAGAGATGGCGTAAACTGACATATGCGAAACGAGCCTTCTGCATCCGTTCTGAGATTTCATCAAAAATCAACCCATTGAGGCTGGATGGTACAACTTCCCAGATGAGTACGGCGGTCACCGTGCTCTAACACTTCACTACCACCTATGAGCTAGGAGTCAATGTAGTCCAGTCCTGTAGCATCATCTTACATTTGACAGCAGGAGCGAATCACTTGCCAAACATTCGAAGGTTGAAACTCAAGGTGTTCAGAAGATTCTGCTAGATTTTGTCAGTGTCTTCACCTAGCGGGGAGGACTATATGACCTGCATATTCTAAGTCAACAAGATTATTCCTTAGTAACAAGTCAATCCCTGGGTCGCTTGGAGTTAGTTCCATTAATATATCTATGATGAAATTGAATAGAAATAGGGATATTGAGTTGGCATCCCTGGCGGACACCACTAGTTGCCACCACTTCAGATGATGACAGGATCTCGAGTGGAAGGTGATTGGGAAAAGACAAGTTGGGCGAGGATCCTGGAGTGACCTTGAGGAGATCGTGTGAAGAGGAGAATATGAAAGATTATGAACAATCATGGAGCCAGATAGAGAGGAATGCAGAGAACAGAGTGAAGTGGAGATGCGCTGCTGAAGCCTTGTGTTCCAGTGGAAACCCAAGTGAATAATAATATAATTACAGCTGGTCACTAATCTAGTTTAAATTGTGTATAGTGTCATTTGTATTTTGCATATCTGTTATTCATCTTAAGAAGAAAATAATAAGTGTGGATGGTTTTCAAATATTTTTAAATTATAAACTCGACAGTTTCTTGGAGCCCCACATGCATTTCGAATAGTGAAAACTGAGAGGTGGGGAAGTGTATTACCAAAACCCGTCAATTTTTTTACATGAATTCATTTAATGCCATGTTTGAACTCAGGTATTGCATCTACACTAGGTTATGAGTCAAACTTTTTGTGTGTGGGGGTTGATGCTACACTACACATTTAGCCAGGCTGAAGCAGATGGGACAGGATTCGAGCCTAGGACCCAGTGATTGAAAGCCAAATGTTTACACCGACAGACTACATTCCCAGTGATTTTAACGAACGAACAATTTGAACTGGTAGGTACAATGTTCAAAATTACAAAGTGTGGACTCTGTGGATTTTTCTAAATTAATTCACTAATGTGAGTTGTGTACGTTGAATAAGGCTAGCGTCGTTATGCTGAACAACTTGGACAAAATTTAGCCTATTTCTAGAAGCAGAAATCTGAGTGAGATAATAAACAATCAATTATACAAATAACCGATCATTCATGAAGCTTGTCTTCCACAGAGGGGGTTTAGAGAACTCCTTATTTTTATTCAGATCCTTATGGGACGTGTTCTGATATTAACAGTTGAATCCTCTTTTAAACGTCCAACGAAACTGAAAGGGTTTACACATACAAAGAATATATATATATATATATATATATATATTTAGATGCCGTAATATACTGTCTGCACAATAGGACAAAATTGGGCAAGGAATGGTTAACATGGGCAGATTTTAGGCAAATGGTAAGAATAGTGAAATTCTGATAAATTTCAGGCATTAGTGGTGAAAATCTTGTCACATAACCAAAACTCGCCTATTTTCTTTTTATGTGGTATGCACGCATTCATTCATCTTTGTCCGACTGGGTGTCTACTTATGATATCGTAGCTTCCTGTTCCCACGAATGTTTGAATGGGGTTACAAAATGATGTCTATCACAATAGTTTAAGATCTGAAGTGGTTTGTACAAAGTATATTCCACTTCATGATGAAGTTCGTTACTTTGGCGAAGACCTATTTGTGGTTATTAATAGTTGAAACTGATGAACATCATAAACGGCCGTCCAGTATGCCTCATCCTTAATACAAATGGTAGAAGTCTATCTGTCTGGTTTCAACGTAGAACTTTGCACCGGTGTGCAGCAGTTCCAGTAGCCACACTTCATTCAGCACACAAAGCAAGAGAAGAAAGCAAAAAGAAATGTAAAATAAAGACAGTAAACAGAGATATGAGACAAAAAGAATAGTACTATCGAAATACAATATTGTTCCATTGGGTATTATAAGTCACAAGGAGTGGATACATCTGCGCCAGTCGTCACTGAGGACGATTTTCACCCATATCGCAAATTGTCTCCAGCTGCCATTGGTGTTTACCGTCTCAACCAGGGAGTCTACACCTTCCTACGTGGCTTAAATTAATTGTTGTGGATTTCATTGACTGATGAAGACATGTTTTAGTTTGACCGCCACTGGCTCTCTTCCAAACTGATCCTTCCTGTGTCAGCTAACATTGTCCGTCGTTGAGGAAAGCGGTGGCTACGCAGGCGTGTGCAACACATGTCCTAACCATCTCAGTCAATGTAGCTTCACTACCTTTTCGACTGATTTCTCCTCCTTATCTAGCATTCGACCAATGCTCAACCTCATTATTACCCACCCTATTAAACCACCACCTGACACGGGAGATAGAAATTACTGAACTCAATCAGCTATGTTTTGCAAATACTGAAAATTGTACGATAGAAGAGTAGAAAGTTGCAACTAAATAGCTATCAGGCGTGAAACTGCCGAAAGGTATCTTCTGCTGACTTTCTTGTCTTCCCTGAAATAACATACTCTAAGTTGTTCCCTTTCTCATGATTTATTTGCCCTAGTAAGTTATGCTACACTGTTGTAAGCATAAAGCATTCCAGTGACATGCTTTTTATTACCTTACAACAAATTTATGAAAAGAATATGCTCACTAGTTCCCTGTTATTATCTAATGCACATTACCTAAACCAAGTCAAATTATGATTGTTTTCGACGCGCATTTATTCATTGGTTTATACTGTAAATTGTGACTCGCAAAGCATCAAAATACTAATCAGGAAAATCGCCGGCTACCTTGGTAATCTGATACTCAAAATCTAGGAAATCCTTTGATTTTCTTTTATACAGCGTAGTTTTGTGCCCCCTATGTAACATACACAATTTCTCGTTTCTATACGAATTATTGATCGTGAAGTCAATAACATAACAGGATTCATTGGTTAGGAAAAAGAGTCCTAAATGTGTGTATTCTGCATGAAGGAAATATTAATAGTTATAAAAAGGTTGCTAAAAACCCACAATGAAACTACTATCAGATAGTTAAACTGTAACTACAAGTTTCCCAACAATCGAAAATGAACTCGGCCCTACCTTTAACGTCCAAAATACGATATCTCGAAGTGATCCGGAGTGAATTCTTTACACACTGAACCATGGAAGCGATCACATTGTATTAATCGAAACTCAAATTGATAGTCAGTGGAACCTGATTTTCAACCCTACACCTCATTTAATACAAAACAGTGAGTAATTTCAGAATTTGCAGGTATACAGTGAGAAATACAACACCACGAGGATCCACACTGGATGAAGTCTTCTTCATGTTAGTTCCTAATTACATTTAATTAGGTCCAGCTAACGTCAAGAACTACTTAGAGAAATGAACACTTGTGATCTGAAAAAGTACGTGGTCCTCCATTACCAGTTATCTGAGGAAGGTTTTTATAAATGGTACTACTAAACTAAGATCAAATAGCACTCAGAAATACCTAAAACTTAATAAATATGCAAAGACGCATGCATACAAAGGGTTATACAAGGGTTCGCCAAGTATAAGCATTTGACAAGACAACCACCTGAATATGACAGTTGTGTAGCTAGGTAGTAGAGGCCTAACTTGTAGTCTAGGCCGTCAGTAAAATTCGCTGACTCGGAAAATAATAATGGTCCCGTTTGTGAATTGAATAGCTGTGTAATAAAAACAGCCATATTAATGATGTAGGAATGCGAAACGTTTCCGGGACCCCTCAGACAGATGCAGCACTACTTAGCGTAATACATGGCGTGACCAACCCGTCTTCCTGTAATCCCATGTAATTTCCTGGCATTTTTGCATGAGCTTTAAGAAATAAGACAATCTTGTCGAGTGAGCAATACGCCTAAGCAATTAACGCAAACTCCATATAGCTCATTAAAATTATATTATATAAAATCAAAGATGAAAAATTTAGACAGCAAAATCAAGCACAAAAGTCACCATTCAAAAATATGTTAAGGCATCATGCTCTTTCTTATCCTTGAGGATGGAATGTAGTTTCATTTCAGTGCCATGGCATGGCAGTGGTTCGAATATTTTCGCATGGATGTATTCACTGTCATCAACTTTCACCTAAACAAAAGTTATCTCGTGGAATCATGCATTTCCTACTTTCACGAAGTGGTTTGTTCCTGCAACTACTTGACTAGATATTTGCAGAATATCATATTTCTGGGGTTTACGTCCAAGGTGAGTTTCTAGATGCTTGTCCAGCTGCAAACATCAAGCATATAAACTTCAGTTTTACCAGTTTTCCAAGTTTTTCTTTCTCTTCGGCAGAAGGTTCGCGAGCAGCACCAACACCACCGCACATTGGCATCTTTATGGAATTATGTCCGAATAAACCGGCTGCTGCTCAAGGACATACAATTTCGAGAGCCTTTGTTCTCAGCTGATGTGAACAAATAGACTTCACCAAAGTCTCGTTTAATTTTTGATAGATATAATATGTTTTCAGGTGATTGTTTGAGTGAATCTGACTTACTTCTCCGCTGTAGCTTCCATTGTCTTTCTAAAGGATATGTAAAAACGTTTTGCATTTTAGATTCTGAGTCCGAGAGGTTTTTGTCTGGTTGTAAATATTTGGCTGATCCAAATTCCTATAAAATATATCCTGTCAACTAATGCAATCCCTCTAAACACACGACAGGGAAGAACGTGAGTCAGTTTACTAGAAAATGTATGGTTTGTAACAGGTTATTCAGATTGTTGAGGCTTGCGAATGTCGTCTCTTGGGCCGACCCCACCCCCATAGGAATCAAAAATATTTTGGAAAATGTGGTTTTATAGGAAGAGAAAGGAAATATAAAGAATGGGTGGATGTATGTTACTAATACTACTATTACACCAACTGAGCTGTATATGTTACTGGCGAAAATATTAACTCACTCCTATAATTTTATGTTTGTTCGCTCGTTGACTTTTGCTTCTATTCTTTTAGTTCCTGACGACTTTTCAAGCTTTCTGATTCATTTTGATGAATGGACTATCAAAATACCTGTAGTATGTCACAATCCATATATCTACCCAGGACACTGAGGAAACTTGTAGCCTTCTTAAAACTGCACTTCTAAATAGAAGGAGTGTACCTAATTCTCACATTCACGATGGACTTTTCCATAATTCAGGGTAGGCAAAGAGCCCCATAGTGGAATTGTTGACATGAAAGCTAGGAACACATGGATACAGAAATTTGTGGTGCACTCAATCAGTCCTGGCAATTCTGCTACGGATTCGAGTTGTTTCGCTGCTCGACTCAACCAGAAGTAACGCTTGCGATCGTCTGCCATTCTAGACTTGTCTTTCACCGCACGAATCGTTAATATATTAGCCTGGGACACTGCGAACTACCGAGCAGGAGACCGTTACCAGGACTCTAATTAGTGTGACCAGGATATATTAATAAAGCTTCTTCTAAGATACACTCAGTCAGAGACACAATCCACGGGAGTGAGTGATGTAAAATAATATTACAACGAAGAAAGAAGTCAGCAATTTATTTTCTTCATCTCCGAAAAATCAGAACAAGATTGTTCACGAGTCTCATTATTTAAAAGCCCGTATGAAGCCAGTTGAAAACAAACTTATTCTTCACTGAAATTGGGGGGTCGAAATGACGCGGGCTGGTGAAAGCCTTCATGAAGCCAATCAGTCGATATGTCTACTTTCGACGCAAATAAGAATAAGCGTGGGGACGTGGAATGTTCGCACAATGTACGAAGCAGGAAAGGCCTCCTAAGTAGCCAAAGAAATGAGAAAATATGTGTTAGAGGTGCTAAGAATCTGAGAGATCAGATGGAGTGAAGTTAGGCTATTTAAATTTTCAACTGCAGAGTTAGTAATCTACTCTGGTCATCCGGACAAAAACCACGAACACACTGAGGCAGTGATTAGCTACCATGGTCACCAATAGTGGCGAACTATGGGCTGACCACTTCCAGCGACCCTTGAATCGACCATCACCTGCGTCTCGTCCAGAAATACCATCAACAGCATGCATAGTGCTGCCATTGGACACCTATATTCCAACAAAAGCGAAAGTATTGAATACAACCAAGCAACTTAAAGCCGGGAGGGCATCTGGACCAGATGGAACTCCTCCTGAATCAGTAAAAATGGATCCAGAGACCAGAGCGGATATGCTCATTCTACTCTCGCAAGACGTTTGGAAAGAAGGAAAGGTGCCCGCTGGTTCGAGGAGAGACTACCTTGTTAAATTGTCAAAGGAGGGTGACTTAATCCTCAGTAAGAACTGGTGCGGAATCATGCCGTTGTCCACGCGGCGCAAAATATTGAGTTATGTCGTATTGGAGAGAGTGAGAGATGCCCTGGATGTGGAGCTCTGCCCAGGACAATCAGGATTCGGGAAAAGCAAATCATGTGTTAGTCAAGCTGCCACTCTGCCCATCATAATCGAACGGCAGTCAAGTCAGTACCTCGGTTTCATCAACATTCAAAGGGCCTTCGACTCCAATGACCATGAAGTAATTTGGAAAATACCTCAGCACTTTGGAGTGCCTCAAATCTTTCTCAAACTCATCCAACAGCTATACGACAATATCACGTGTCAGGTGATACACGACGAAAAGCCTAATGAGGCGTCTGAAATGAAGACTGGAGTGAGCCAAGGCTGCCCGCCTATTACCACCAGTGATATTCCTAACTGTGGCTGAATGAATTATGTGGAGAACTGTGGAGGGCGGGAAGACAGGAATGCGTTGGACCGGTAAGAAGACTCTAGAAGATCTGGATTTCATTGATGATCTGCGTCTAACGTCACATAAATTCGAAGACTTACAGACGATAAACAACAAGTTGCCAGAAGAATCTGGCACCGGAGAAACGACTTCAAATGGACACACTGAAGATGGAAGTGATGAAGACACTAGTAAAGTTAAACTTTCGACACCACTAACAACCAATCAGCAAACGACCTTGAACGGACCAATCACATTAAAAGGCATTTAATAATAATAATAGTGGCCAAATGAATAAATGAAATGGCATTTGACATGGTATCTCACAGTATTCTCTTTGAGAAGCTGTACTCTTGTGGAATTCGCAACCCATTACTGAACTGGTTAAAATCATTTCTAAGCAACAGGGTACAAATAACCAAAGTTGGATCTGTATTGTCTCATCCTAGGCAGATCTCAAGTGGGGTCGTGCAAGGTAGTGTCCTAGGTCCACTTTTATTCACAGTCTACATTAACAGCATTTGCAAGTGCTTCACCTCAGGTAAACCATTCCTATATGCTGACGACCTCAAAGTCGTCTACTCCTGCTACACTCATGAATTAAGCGATATGGTTACTAAAATACATCTTGAACTAAGTAGCCTCTCAACATGGTGTGCTGAATCCTGTCTAAATTTTAACATTGACAAATGCGGCTGGATTTGTATCGGCAACAGTAACCTTGATCTAACTCTTGAAATAAATGGGCGAAAACTAGCTAAGCTCAACTCAGTCGTAGATCTCGGTATTAGATACTCTAGTAACCTAACGTTCGCTGAACAGACTGATTATGCCAGACGTAAAACGCGAAGGCTGATAGGATGCATAACACGCAATTTCTTTTGTTGTGAAACTAGGGTTTTATTATACAAAGTATGTGTCCGACCTATCTTAGAATACTGCCCGTTTATTCTTAGCGGACTCAGACAAAATGACAAGCTTAAATTAGAGGGAGTGCAACGGCAGTTTACCTCAAGAACTCTTGGTTTAGAAAGTGGTCTGGAATACCATGAGCGATGCGAAAGACTAAGATTAGAACCCCTCTGGAAAAGACGCCTTAAGCTAAACCTTATCTTTTTATAAGCTAACTAATCTTCTCTTGCATTCCTCCGAGCCAATAACTAAACCTACCGCTGTCATCAGTTACAATCTTAGAAATCATCACAACCTAGCTGCTATAGAGCACTGTCAGACTTACGTGCGGTACAACTTCTTCTTAAATAAGTTTTCAGTCATTTGGAATAGACTACCAGCTAATGTGCGCGATGCAAACACACTTCCAGTGTTCATCTCCTCAGTCACCAGACTGCTCAAAGATGACAATGCACTTGTGCGTCTGACTCTTACACCCCTTTTTCACCCTACATAGATATTTTAAGTTCTTTAAACGTGTAGTTACAACAAACTACAATTATAAATTTTAATATTATTGGAACTAGATGTAAACATTTCTACACAGGACAGTAATATTAGTTCACACATAATATAAAAGTTAGCATAACGGGACTAGTTAGTTTGTTTACAAAAATAACCATAGTTACTAAACAGAATATATATGTATACATTTACTTTATTTTTTTTCCTGCACGTTCCCAGTGGAACATAGGGCTCCAAGCTAGATGCTTGAAGTTTCTGCAGCAGTGGTGATTATTTTTACAGGATGGGGTTGCTAGCCTCATGCCAAACCTTTCCTCTTCACCAGTCTCACTAGTGGCTTAGCGAGGTAAAGGAGTGCGCCGGCCGGGGATCGAACCCCGGACCATGTGCATGGTCAGCGAGCGTCCTAACCGCTATGCCACCGACGCTCTGGTGGTCACTCCATAAGGACTCCTCTTGCTTTCTTTTGCTTTGCTGTTGTTTGTCTTCTTTTTTCTCTCACCATTTTAGCTTCCATTGGACTTTTTGAATGAGAATGAATAATGTGGATGTTTGACCATTTACAGTGACAAATGATCTGCAGACATTATTGGTCCCGTATCTTTCAGTTGCCTAGTTAATAACGAATTAAGTTTCCCCACGACGCAGCCCGGATTACATTTGTGGAATATACTCTTATACCAATGGAAAAGTATCAATTTGTAATACAACGTCACGATTGTAGCTTATAACATAACTAACCGTATCTGTAAAAATAACTTTCTTATTACCCAATTTGGATATAAATCAAAAATGAGATTCGGATCTGTACACACCCAAGTTATATTGAGGAATTACTTCAAGCTTTATTTTTTCCCAAGTATTTTTAATCCATCCAAAACTTACTTGGGTTTTTTTGTTAATGCGAAGTTAATATTCCTTTATTTCATGACGTGTTCCATTGAATGACTGGTTATCATATTGTTCCCACAGACCTAAGACAAAAACGCCAGCAACCATGTAATTTAACCATAAACCAAATTTATGAAATTTAAATAATGATTATCCATACCTGTATATTTGGTGTGTCCTACACAAGTAGGAAAAAATGTGTATTTTATTAAAACATTATTATTAAGTATGATTGCTAATCGTATATGTAATTTATCATATTGATGATGCCTGTAAACTGGCGTTCCTCATGTACAAAATGAGAATATACTATTAT